CCACTGAGAAACAGATGTTCTGGATAGAAATGTATATGAATAGTTGCAGGCAGTAATTTTTTCCTGCATATCTTTTGCTGCTGGCTGGACAGGAAGATGAAGCTAACCATCCCGGCAGCATATTCAGGCCCTACGTTGGCTTAACACACCCCCTTAATCCACAACTCCATCCACAAGGCATTTTCTCAGACAGAGTTCTGTTGATTTGAAGGAAGATGGAGGATGTCATCCCTCCCTCTCATGCTTTTATAACTAACTGCTGGAACAAAGGGGTTTATTCTTGTTATCTCCCTCTGATGAGTAATACAAGATAACCAACAGGACTTACAAAGGAAAGATGAGAAATATAACTGAAGAAGAAAAAGAGACAGCTGCTGCTGGGTACTGCCCCACAGCACATTCCTCTGTGCCTAATGCCTCAGGTAAAGTGAGAGGAAGAGTAGCGAAAAGATTACAGGGATGTTTCTCTCCAGTGCCCTTTGGTCTTTGTTTTAGCATTTGCCAGGCACCGTCTGTGGTTCAGAGATCTATATCTACATTTAAAGAAACAAACAACTTTTTTTTTTTTTTAATTTAAAAAAATGATTTTGCTCAATCTATTTCCAAGGAATTGTTACTGCACCTGAAGCTCCGTATAGATTTTAGCAGCACTGCTTTAAGATCCAAAATACCTGGTCTTCTAACCTGCAGTGTGTTTTACTAAGAGACTGCAACATCTTTGTAATTCCAATAGTGTAGAACAACAGTGACCACCACATGCTTCTTCACTTACACAGATAGTTGTTACACTGCTGGTATTAGTTACCAGAAAGCTTCAAGCTGATGTGCAGTTACGCAAATTAGGACTGGAAACTCATACCAAATACAAACACACAGGAGGCCACTCTCTTCTGCTGGTAACAGCTTCTCTTAAGAAGTCTTTCATAAATTACTGTTTATCAAGAACCACCTTCACTATGCATCTATTGACATTTCTTTATTGAACAACACAGAATATTTATATGCAGTTTCTAGCTGATACTAGTCTCAGAAGTGAAGAGCAGGTGAGTAAAGCATATTGTTCCTTTACTGGCTGTTTCCAAATCATGAACCAAGTGTCTGTCCAGCTTTTATTAGAAAAGGGTCATATGACAAGATGTGGTTTCATTTCCAAGAACAGAGGACACTATTTCTTGGAATAAACTTAATTTACTAACACTTAAATTGTTTGTAAAGGTGATGTACATCAGGAGTACTAAACTATTGCTAACAGTTTTCTGGCTTACAATATGCTTGAAGAACAGACAAGCAAATCCAAGGTGATTGCTCTGTGCAATTTAAGCCATAATGCAGCCTCCTAACAAGAGTTTATATCCACTCAGTGCAGTGATAACTACTGAGAAAGATAATAATGACACATCTAGAAAATTAAAGCAATAAAAAAGACAGTATCATCTTCATTATTCATTATTCTTATGCCTTTTTCTGAGGGAACCAAACTGGGAAAAACAAGATAGAGATAAGCAGGGTTTCAAAATAATTTTTGGCAATGATAATAACATACTTATATAGGACATCCCAGTCAAAACAGCTTTTCACCCAGAGATTTTAATTAATTGCATACACCAAACAGAGGAATCACAGAAACTCAGCCATTTCTGAGGAAGAGCCCACAGTGATTCTGCAGCAAAGATAAAGGATAAGCTGTGCAAGTCAGCTTCTCCAGCTGATACACAGGCTGTGCTGCTCACATTGACTCAAAACTTGGATCAGTGGAGGCAGCTGCCTCTTGACACAGAGATGTACCACAGGGGGAGGCTGGGAAATGCAAGGACTTTGCACGGGGGTATTGGTAGGGGTGAAGCGAGATGGAGATTGCCAGTTTTCAAACAACTGCTGCTGTATGAGGTCCCACAGCACGCACCTGCCCCCTGCACCCAGATGCACAGCCCTGATTAGCCTTATACACCAGGCTGGGCTGGATCATCCCAGTCTCCATCCCTGTCCCCATCCCCTGGCTGCCTGGCTGGGGCACCCCCCAACTCCTCATGCCACCCAGTGCTCCCCACTCCTGCCAGCACCACTGCTATCACTCTGGCAGCTCTCCATACAGCCATCACTCCACAGCACCAGGGCATCATTTCTGCAGGTGTACAACGACTACAACAGATGTACTGACTTCCTTCAGGATTCCAAATTAACTTGTCCTTTCTGTCACTCATGTGAGAAATGCAGAGACTTCGATGGAGACAGAGCAGTGTGGAGTGCCTTCCAAAACTTCCCCGCCATTCCTGGACCTTCTCCAGGTCCAGCCCTCAGCTCCCACAGCAGCTGTGCCTGGGGGAGACAGGCAGAAGTGGTGCCCTCTGCCAGGCATCAGCTCCTCATGCACAGGTCATCTCTGTTAGAGCAGTGGACAGCCAGCAAACCTAGAGACATTTAAATCCTCCCAAATGCTTCACCATGAGGACATTCTCATCTGATAGTTTTAGGAATATTGATGTTTTAAAAGAACAGCAAAATATGTGCTTTAAAAGCCAACAGTCCCAGATCAACCCAGCTGCTAACATCTAGAACACAATGATCAACAGAGCCAAACTGTTGATTCCTTAGGGGATAGGTTTTCTACATTGAAACTGAAGAAATTGGTGGTTTTATTTAATACTGCACATGCTGGTGCACTTCTTTGCAACTACTTTGTAGATATGGTGCATTAGGGCATCAGCCTGTATTAGTTCCAACCCTAAAGGAGTGAGAAAGGAGGATCAAAACATCTGCAAAAAAAACAAACAGCATGCAAGATATGGATTCAGCTTCTGCAGCTGGGGATATCCTCACCCTTCCAGGTTTTGGAACATCTGGGAAGCTTTGTTCTCTTCGTGTGCAGAGGACACCTTTCAGGAGTCAGTATGAGAATACAGCCTGGTGGCTCTGTGCACCTTCTTTCTGTCTGGAGGTTGAAATCAATTCTGTTTTCAAGTGCTTCACAGCAAACTTGAGTATTGTACCTGTTTTACAGGAAGACACTTCCTGGGTTGTATAGAAATTGAATCAATCTTATTCAAAATATGAATAAGACCTTGGACAGGGATTGGAACTAGATCATCTTGAAGCTCACTTCCAACCCAAACCATTCTATGGTTCTATGATTCTGTGATGACATGTCTTTTTCTGCCTCCAGCTGCTATGCTCCTGCCCCTCACCAGCTCCAGATGCTACTGCTGCTCCTCAGAAAGGGGTTATTGCACAAGGTGGGTAATCTGTGCTGTCAGCACGTGGTGGCAGTAAGCACCTCACCATGCTTTGCATTTCAAGAACGCACTTGGCAACAGCTTTTATAACTCTAAGCACCTGTAAGAGTGGGAAAGTGGTGAGATTATCTTACTGATTCTGAGGATGTTGTATTCAGTGATTTTGCTAACAAATATTTTATTCATAAGGCCCTATGACAGTTATACAGTGTTTTCTGAGTAAAATGATTTTTTCAAGAATTGTCCACAAAGTAAAACTATTATGAGTTAAGGCTTAACCAGTATAATAAGATGATTAGCTAGGGTCTTCTGCAGTTAATGACAGAATTAGTCCAAGGAACTTCTGAATCATCTTTGGTTTGACATGGATATTTCCAGCATAATTGCCCAATCTGATCTAAGTATACCACCTGGCTGCCTGAGGTGCCTTAGATTGGCCAAGACTGACAATGAACACTTTTTAGCCCATTGCTCTTAATAATATAAACCTTTCCATTGCCCCAGCAAGTTTGGAAAGTTTTCCTGCTTTACAGTCAGAATACATAAGCACCAGGATGGAGTGAGCTCTTCTCTTCCCCAGAGCCTCTATATTAGCACAGAATTCCTGTTGCCTTGCCCAGGTAGTGCACCATCCTGTCTCTCTCTGAACTGTTAACATTTCTGTTAAATGTTAACATTTCTGTTTTACATATTGTACTGCTTTGGTCATACATTGCCTTATATTTCCGCCTTACATGTGACGCCAGCCCCCTAGCTTGTTCATGTTAACTTCTTCTCTTTGTCCATCTATCTCTCAAAGTTCAGTTCATGACTCTTTATGTTAGTGTCACAGTTTTTTTTTATATAGCTTAATGCCCTGCTATCTGAGTGTACTTAATGTAGTCTAACATCTAGGTCTTGACATCAGGTGTCATGATACAGGGTATGATAGTCATTGGTGGGTAACAAGTGAGCAGAATTATGTTCAGTAAGGTTACAAGAAGTAAGAGTTGTTTTAGGAGGGAGCATTCCTTCATGTATTTAGGGAGATGTAGTATCTGCTATACACTTTGTTTTACATGAGCTTTCTTTCATTTAGTATTGATTTTTAATCTCTTTCCAGATCTTTTTTGCTGTAATGTTTTCCAGAAGGGAACGTTAAGGGTAGGGCAATAATTGACACCATACCATAAGTGCAAAAGCTGAGGCAGAATGGTCTCATACAAGAACATGAGAGCACTATGTTTCAGAGTTTATATAAGCCCTCTTTAAGTATTTCAAACTAAACCAGACAAAGAACTAGAAGCTGTCTCACCTCTGATGTGTATAATCCTATGATTACAGAATTCAGTTCAATAGGGATTAACTCAAATTTAGGTTGTATTTGGCACCTTAATTTCAGTTGAAAAGCATCTCTTATTCCAGATAAAAATGTCTACAAGAACTACGTTTTTTTTTAAAGGCTTGAAACAAAACAAGAAAACTGTGTAAGCCACTTAACCAGCCATCCTTGAAGGCAGGAGAACAAGGTTCTGCTATTGAATACCTATTTTTACTCAGGCAGCTTTTGAAAATACTTATAAAATGTATGCAGTAGACAAGAATAGTAGAAGAAGTTCCACTTGAGTAAATATGTATTGAATATTTATTGAATCTAAACCATTTTACAAGTAAAAACAAGTCAAAGAGAATGAATATCTTCAAATATGTTTTCTTTAAATTAGAACAAAGTAGTCACTTAACAGTCCAAGATGGAACATGGCATATTGTGAAGACAGTTAATTTACCTTTCATTGTCAGAGCTGATCCTGTGGGGGTTGTTATTTTCCTGGATAATGCAAGCCACCATCCTCCAAATGCACATGCTTCCTTATGCACGGAAGTGTTCATTTCTCATGGCACCTTAGTTTTGCAGGACCACTGTTCTCTGCAAAAAATGGTGATCCCTGCCCTAATTCTTACTGTTTGCTTATGTTAACAAAAGAAATGTACTACTAATTACTATACAGCAGGGAAATACCTTAGAGGATGCATTTTAGATCCTCAGGGTGCTGGTGGTACACCATCTTCTCTGGCAGCAAGGCTATTTTAACAAGTTCCCCACCTGCAGTTCCCCATCCCATCAGGTCTGCATGATGGGGACCTACCATGAACTGCCCCAGTGGCATTAAAAACCTGGCAAATCAAATAAATAGACACAGTTCTTCATGGGTTGGTTTTCTGATTGTTTTTTAAACCAAGACTGTTAATGTAATTCTGTCCTCAGCCTCTCTGCACTCTACTAATATGCAGACAGCATGAATTCCTGAGCTTTTGAAGGGTGAAATGAATATTGGCTCATTTAATTTGCAAGAGGGAAAGTGAAAGGGCATTTTGGTCCTATAAGCACAGACTTCAAACCACGTTAATACCCTAATAGCATGTATTGAGACCTAGGCACAGAAAAATCTAGTTTAATTATGCTGCATATTATGTTTTGTTAAATATTTTAATAAATAAATTATATTTGAGGGTAATAAAATAATTGTACTGGAATATAATAACACCACAGGCACTGAGGGAATAAAAGGTATGAAAGATTTCTCGTAAAAATGTAATCCTTGGGATATAACCTTGTTATTTGCATTTCAATTTCATGCAGACACTTTATCCAGCAGGTTAAAGAGTTCTCAGTGCTAGTTATTGGGATTTGTTTGTGTTAAATTAGCCCCAGAAGGTTTTTCCCTGTAATCCCTGTATAAAGAAGATATTAAATACTTCAATTACAATAACTTTGAAGTCTAATATGAATTCTAGAAAATTAAAAAATACCTACTTCATTTCAGAAGAGTTTCTTGTTCACTAAACTTGATACACATTTCTCCTTCTTCCAAGACTGAAAGAAGAAAACAGTATTTTTTTTATACAATGTTGGAACAACATACCCAACATTTGTACTAGATAATTTACCTGGGGAAGTGCATAAAGACATTAACAAAGAAGCTTTTATTAAAGTTCAACTTTTACATATGCTTCAGGTACTTAAGTATTGTGATTGTAAAGCTGAATAACAACAAGGTACCTCTCAGTAAAGGATGCAGCCTTCTAACCTAGGAAAGAGAAATTAATATGAGCACAGAGTGGTTAATGGGTCACAAATTCTCTAGACACTTCGACAAAATCTTACACATGTAGGTACATTTACAGCAGGTCACTCCATAAGATTAAGGATGTACTGAGGAATCTGTACCTAAGTGGCCTATTTTGTGTACCTATCATAGCCTCATTTTTCTGTTTTGGCAAATTTAAAAAGAAATTCAGTCATATTGATAAATAATGTCATATTGATCTGGAGGCCTAAAGAAATCCTGGCGTTGCCAGGATGATGTGGGCATATTGTCTTTACTAGTAAGCTGTTGCTGTGGCATCAGCATTAAAACAGGGCTGAGTTTAGCTCTGCTGTCACAGTTCAATTATTTATGAATTCAGCTCACTGTTCTTGGAGGTACCATTGAGAAAACCTTTTCTGTTGCTCTCTGTACTTTCTTATCTCTTACTTTGACCTGGACAGGCTGTAGAGTTGGGCAGGGAATAACCTGATGAAATATAACAAGGGAAAGTGTAGAGTCCTGCATCTGGGCAGGAACAACCCCAGGTTCCAGTATAGGTTGGGAAACGACCTGTTAGAGAGCAGTGTAGGGGAGAGGGACCTGGGGGTCCTAGTGGACGACAGGATGACCATGAGCCAACACTGTGCCCTTGTGGCCAAGAAGGCCAATGGCATCCTGGGGTGTATTAGAAGGGGGGTGGTTAGTAGGTCGAGAGAGGTCCTCCTTCCCCTCTACTCTGCCCTGGTGAGACCCCATCTGGAATATTGTGTCCAGTTCTGGGCCCCTCAGTTCAAGAAGGACAGGGAGCTGCTGGAGAGAGTCCAGTGCAGGGCAACGAAGATGATTAAGGGAGTGGAGCATCTCCCTTATGAGGAAAGACTGAGGGAGCTGGGTCTCTATAGTTTGGAGAAGAGGAGACTGAGGGTTGACCTTATAAGTGTCTATAAATATATAAAGGGGGAGTGTCACGAGGATGGAGCCAGGCTTTACTCAGTGGCAAACAATGATAGGACAAGGGGTAATGGGTACAAACTGGAACACAAGAGGTTCCACTTAAACTTGAGAAGAAACTTCTTCTCAGTGAGGGTGACAGAACACTGGAACAGGCTGCCCAGGGAGGTTGTGGAGTCTCCTTCCCTGGAGACATTCAAAACCCGCCTGGACACATTCCTGTGTAACATTATCAAGGTGTTCCTGCTCCGGCAGGGGGATTGGACTAGATGATCTTTCGAGGTCCCTTCCAATCTCTAGCATACTGTGATACTGTGATCTCTAGTTTATGGGCAAAATTGTGGAAAGCAAAGTGGATTAACTATGTAGTGTGCAAAGGTGTCAGACTGAAATCAAATAACACAGCAGTGAAAATTGTCTTTCTCAGCCTCTGTCTATACTGCAGACTATAGGATAGGACAGAGATGCTTAAACCTATTTCAAGACCTCTGAATAGCACTGACAGTTATATTATGGACATATCTACTTGAAATCATGAAGTCTAAACATGATTTTATTAGCAAAAATGCACCATTATATTTCTATTTAGTAATTCTGGTCTTACAGCCCTACTCTGACTGCCTTGCTTGCTAATCCATAGACTAAAAGATCTCTGAATTTTCTTTATTTCTGTACATCCAACGCCTGTGCTTTTAAGTTTACAGGAATGGGGTTTTGTATTTATCAGCTCGATGGAAGAAATTGACATCAGAACCTGAAAAGAAGCTCCAGAATTTTTTGCAATGGGTAATACCCACCAAAGGTCAGTAAATCTCATACGCAAAAGCTGTATAATATGGAACAAAGGTCAATAGTTCATTAAATCTCATAATCAGAAGCTATAAAATTTGAATGAAAAAGCCACCTGAACGTTCACAGCCCTCTTATCAATACTTAGACAGCTCTGTGCAAAGCCTTGGCCTTGAAAACACAAGCAAACTATGCTTGTGCATTTTACTGTACTATAATTACTTGATTTTCTAATTAAATAAATGAGGTTTGGAAGGTTTTTTGCTGAAGAAAAAAAGTAAAAGACAATGTTAAGAATGATTCAAGGCCTGGCAAAGAGTTAATTTTTCCATTAATATTGCCTCACATTTTAAGGAAATAATGTATGCAAAAAGAGTATTTTTATTTTCTTTTCTTACTTACACAATTCTCAAATAAAAAGAATCATATATAATAATATGTTAGGCTGTTTCAAAATACGCAAACACACATTCACATTTTTACCTTTTTAGATAAACAGGGAAATATTACATTTCATACTCATTTATCTGTAGGGCTGAATTATGTATCTCTGATTTAGACACCTAAATGGAATGGTCAGATTTTCAGATGTTTTGGGTATTCAGACATTCTTATGGAGCACATTTCAAAATAGGGCCATACCATGAGCAGCCAGATTTTCCTGAAAATGTTTCAAATAACCCTAGTTTTTCTCAAAGCAATGTGAATGCTGCCATCTAGCTATACAGTAACATCATATCTTTAGTCCAGTTCTGATAGACACAAAGTTTTTCAGTTTCTGTTTGGAACAGAGCAGAACAGAGATACAAAAATTCCAACTGCATTACCTTTAAGAAGGTCTAAGAACCATTTATTATTCTAAAAAACTGTAGTATTATAAAATACTATTTTGGCAGTAAAATGAAAATGTAAGAATGTGGTTAAAATTATTGCATCTGATAGTAAACCAACCATCAAACCTTCTGAATGACATTGCAGGACCTGATTTTAAAAATGCCTTCAGTTGAATGAGGTAACTAATAATGTTGAAAGCACACACTTCTAAATTGAAGTCTAGCTCCTCTTTCCAGTTTGAGATTCATCTACCAAAGATCAGGATTTCTATAAAACTTTTTGTCTAACAAATATCCTTACATTTAATCCACAAATTGTTTGGAAACTGTTTACACGTGTCAGCTGAACAGCTGGTATTTGGAGAATCATGGCTGCCCCTTCTTTTTCCTCATAGACACCCATTCTTTTCCCTCATGATCTCCCCTCACGGCCACCCCTCCTCTCCCATCAAAATCTGCCCTCATGGCCGCCCCTTCTTTCCCCTCATGATCTTCCCTCATGGCCACCCTTGCTCTCACCTCATGATCTTCCCTCATGATCTCCTCTCATGACTGCCCCCCACCCCTCATGGCCACCCCTCACGGCCACCCCCCACATCCCACGGCTGCCCTTGCTCTCCCCTCATGATCTCTTCTCATGGCTTCTCCTTTCCCCTCATGATCTCCCTTCATGACTGCCCCTCCTTTCCCCTCATGGCTGCCTTTCCTGTCCCCTCACCATCTCCCCTCACAATAGCCCCACATCCCTCATGGCTGTCCCTTCTTCCCATTCATAGCCACCTCTCCTCTCCCATCATAATCTCCCCTCATGGCCGCCCCTTCTCTCCCCTCATAATCTACCCTCATGGCTGCCCCTCCTCTCCCTTCATGACCTTCCCTCATGGCCACCCTTCCTCTCCCCTCACAAACTCTCATCATGGCTACCCCTCCTTCCCCTCACGGCTGCCCTTCCTCTCCCCTCACAATCTTCCCTCATGGCCACCCCTTCTTTCCCACATGATCTCTCCTCATGGTCAGCCTTGCTCTCACCTCATGATCTTTCCTCATGATCTCCCCTCACCCCTCAAGGCCACCCCTCACATCCCATGGCTGCCCCTGCCCTCCCCTCATGATCTCTCCTCATGGCTGCCCCTCCTTTCCCCTAATGATTTCCCCTCATGACTGCGGCTCACCCCTCAGGGCCAGCCTTACTTTTCTTCTCTCTCATGCTCTCCCTCTCCCTCTCCCCATCTCTCCAACTGACATCCCTGATCCACCTCCCACAGTGTCCTTTGGATCTGTAATGGAAAATATGAGGACGCACTAGTTCCTATGTTCTCCATCTGTATATGACAAATTTAGACCCAAATTCCTTTAGTCTAAGCCCAGGTTCACAGCTGAACATGGAACTTGCCCTAGAAATGCCCCACATCAGGCTTTTCATGTAAGTCATGCTTAACATCTGCTGTAATGTGTGATGCCCAGGAAGAAAAGGCTACGTTAGTGCCGCAGGACACATATATAGCTCCTCTGGAAAGAATGCTGCAAATTCAGAATGTTCACTTTGCTTTTTTCTTTCTTTTTTAATCTCCCTCCACCTCTCCCCTCTTTATGATACATTATGGTGCCATGGTACTGAGTTGACTCACTCAGCTAATAGCTAGGTAGGTGGTAGACAAAGCTGCTTGAAATTCCAGAGTCAGACACCCGGCCGCCCTCACTGCTTCAGGCGGCTGATTTACGGCTGAAGTTCCTCTCAGTCACTGACTTATTTCCTCCGGGAAACAGCCCGGTAGCGCAGGCCGTGAGGCAGAGGGGCGCTAGGGAACGATTCGTCTCCTCACCGCACCATTTTAAGTCTGGGTTGTAACATCAGGAAAGGTCTTATAAAGGTTTCTCGGGATCCGAATTCCCAACAGTTCTGGCCTCATTCACTGAGAAGAAAATACACATTTAGGAAGAGGATGCGTCAGTTGGGTGTCAGCTAGGTGCAGTTTTGTTTTTATTCAGGGGAAGTGTGATTTGGGTCTCCACCAAGCAGAAATGGCCATTGCAGCGGCTGAAAGGAGGAGCAGGAGGGTAGTGATGCTGTGTGGTACCGTGCTTGGAAGGTCTCTGAAGATAGGAAATACTAAATCTGGGGTCCCACAAAATGGTCTAGGATTTCTGTGCTTACTCTGTGAGTGCCTCTATTGAACATAATAGTATGGAAGCTTAGGGAGATAGCATTTATAATGATTATGCACATGCAAGTGATTGCTCACAGTGAAGGGCACGGAAAAACCTTGCTCAAGGTGGCTGCAGCCTCACAAGGGGCCACATGCAATACACAGATGGTATCTGGATATGTATCTGTATCTTTGAACTGGTAAAGCCTTCTCCTTCCCAGGGCTGTACTGTTAACAGCCAGGTGATTCCATCATCCTTTGGGAGTGGGCATCCCAGATGGCATGTTCTCAGAAGCCACCTGCCCTTTCCAGATGTTGCATGCTTATCTGCTGCCTAGCTTGTTAAGCGCATTACCCCTGCCTGTAGTTCAAGCCTATCAACACGCTGAAGATGTGTTCTTGCACCTTAACAAAGTGGCAGTTCATAAAGTGACAGTCAGTAACTAGCATAATTTTAAAAAGCTGCACTGTTAGCTTTGTCAGACAGTTGCTATTGCTGTTTCTTCACTTGGCTTGAGGACAGTTTATCTGTAAACGATTATGGAGTTTGAAGGCAGAAAAAAGGTAATGATCATAGTAAGACCATTACTCATCTATCACAGTTTTTACTATAGCTACAAGCTGTAGAATAATTATATATTCTACAGTGATTTATTATGCTTCCATCAGTATTTCAGAAACTGCTGACTAAAAGTACTCACTCTACACAGCATGATTCCCATCTAATGTGTAACCAGGTTACACTTGTACTGGCATTTGGTGTAAATCAATGAAATTTATTTGCATACCAGTAAGTGGTTTTGGAGAATTTTATCTCATTTTTGATACACGGCTTCCTCCCTTCCAACGCTTTCTAACTTTCAGAGATTTGAGATCTCTCAATGATTTCACTGTTTGAATGATGTTTAAGCAACTGATATATATACATGCTTTCATACCTAAATACATATATATACAAATAGTGTCCAGCTTATGTAGAACTTATTTATATGTTATTAAAGTATTAAAAATGAGGTATTTGGGGAAAATTATTTTTGTGAAAATGCAGGCAAAAATTAAGCAAGCCCACAGTGTTTGATTAGATTGCAATCACTAAAGGTATAGCTCACGAGAAACAAGAGATCATTTGCAAGTGAGGAGGAAGACTTGCAGAATAAACAGTTTAATTTTTGTAGATTCAGGTCAGGCAGAAGCAGTTTATTTCTACAGCTATAGGAGGGATAGAGGTCCAGCCCTCTACTGGTGTGAATTCTTACTTAAAGCGCAAGTACTAGGGTTATATAAATTCACAGCAGATACAAGCTGCTCTGTGACAGGTGCAGACATGGCAGAGCAGTATCAGCATGGAAGGAAACACTGTCATGGTGGACATGCTCATGTGTTCGGGACAACTCAGGCGGCCTCGGCGTACGTCGGCTTAGCTCATCCCTCCTTCACTTGTGACACTGCTGCGCCCTTTACCACAGCTTCCAGGCCTAGTAAGGCCCGCGTCCACAAAGCAACGCCGGTAATTACGCGGCTCCGAACAACACGCTACCGCCACAACACCTCCCCTCCCCCGTCCGCTCCTGTCAGCTGGCCCTCGGTAACGTCACGGTCTCGTGTCAGCGGCCCCACCCGCTGCCGCCTGACCCGTGAGGTGGAGCGGAGCGGGGCGGGGCTTGGCTCGGCTCGGCTCGGCTCGGCTCGGTGAGCGCTGCTGTGGGGTCGGGACCTTCGGGGCTGCCCGAGACTGCAGAGTCGTTGGGCTGCGGGGAGGGGGGTTGCTCGCCTGTGGCGAGGCGGGACGAAGCGGGGCGAAGCGGGGCGAGCAGCGTGAGCAGCGGTGAGCCGGGCCGCGGTCTTGAGCAGGGCCTGTGAGGGTGGTGGCAGCCCCCGGGGCCCGGGGGTCCTCTCCCTGCAGAGGAGCATCGCTTCTGCGCCGAGCGGCCGGGATGACTGGCGCAGCAGGAGCCCCGCTGCCCTGCACCCGGGCTAGCGGGGATCGGGAGTGATGGGGAGGGGTGGAGGAGCCGGCGGGGCAGCGGAAAGCGGTGTGGTTAGGTCAGGTTGAAGTAGCCGCGATAATAAGTAATGTTTTGAGTGTCGTCTCGTGGAACTGGGAGGTTTTCTGTTAAAGTACTTTGAAAAACTGCTCCCTATTTTGTCTTTATTTTTTTCACGTCAGTTTGGGCTTGAGTAGTTTGAATATGGAAAAATCTGCTTGCAGTGATAGGAAACTGGCAGGCACGCAGCTAATGAAAAAATATTAAATAGCTATCTTACGTAACAGTAAATTTTCCATGATATTGTTGGAATCTTCGGCCACAGAACAGTGGATAGTGATGATGTCGTTATACTTCAGTGCTGTGAACAGTATAATG